TCTCCCGACGGCGCGCAGCAAGCCCCACGTCGAGTGAACCCCCGCCACTCGATCACGGCCGTCCGCCGCGTGTCGCAGGCGTGCACTACCCCGGCGCCGTCTCGCGCAGCCACGCACAGCGCTTGCTGCGGCAGCTGCTGCCAGGCTGCAGAAGAGCGGAGGGCTCACGTGAGTCGTGACGAGATCAGAGCCAGTGCCAGAGGGAGAGGCGGAGAGCGAGAGGAGGCTCTGCGCGAGACGCCGCGAACACTGCTCTCACTGGACACTGCACGACTGCACACACTGGCAGCAACCGCTGCGTGCGAGCACGTGGAATGCGAGCACGATAGAGCTGAGGTCTCTGTGTGTGCAGTGTCCGGTGTCATTCGCTTCAAAACAGTGCGTGGGCGGAAAATAACGCTTCACCGCACGGAAAGAGGACAGGCTTGGGACAAGCTGATAGATTGTCGAGATGATCTGGGAGATGCCGTCCATGGACCATGCAACATGCTGCATAAAAAGCGCAAAGGCTCACGCCTCCGACTTGACGCTCCTAACCTCGACCGCAACCTGCTCTTCCGGCGCAGTGAGCAGCGGCAGAATCGCCTCGGGTGCGGCGAATGCATTGGACACGGTCCAGCTCAGCGCAGCGACCAGCTGCAAGCGATCGCCAAGCTCCCAGCCGCCGTAGATGAAAACGGAGGCGACCCACGCGCACGAGGCGAGGAGCTGCGTGATCCAGGCGAGGAAGCCGCGGGCGGCGAGGGTTCGCGTCAGGAATTCTTTGGAAGCCATGGTTATAAGTGGGGCCGCGAGCGTGCGGGCGACGAGGCTGGTAGTTGAAGTCGAGACGACCAGGTGCATGCACTGGCGCCGACGCCTACGGAAGTGGGCATTGGCGTGCGTGTTTGCGAGCACACACTCGAGTGAGGGCGCGTGCGTGCGGATGAGGTTGCGTGGCGTGGGGGGGGGCGCACGGCTTTGGGAGTGCCGGGGGGGGCGGCGCGTGGCGGAAGGCGATCGCCCGTATGCGTTTCGTTTTTTCTCACACCACGTGCCTCTGCACGTCCGTTCTTGAAAAAGGGGGTGGGGGGGAAAACACTTCCTAGGCCCCCGAATGTTAAGTGGGTTGTCCGGGTCCCTTCATGAATTGTCCGAAAGTCTGGGTGGACTCTTGTGAATTGTTGAATCATATTACCGTTTCCTCCCCCGGT